AACAGAACCTCGCGGCGACGCCATGGTTTCAATGGTGGACGCTTTCGATCTGCGAAAACGTTTTTATGCCATCTGATTGGTCGTAGTGATGGGACACTACCTCCTGCAATCGGCTGTCTCGTCCGGTGAGTCGCAGTCAGTCGTTCGTTTACGCGCACGCGAGCTGGCCCGTCTCTGAGGCTTTGAAGAAACGATCTCATAGCGGCCCGCTGCCAGACGGAAACCCGTCGCTTGATCCGAATCATCAAAGTTATGTCACCGCCATCCTTGCTATATTGTTCAGCTTTACGTTACGGTTTTCCGTAGACGATTTGACCGAACTCAATGGATTGGACATTGCTATCAAGTGTCGTTTTCTGAAGCAACTCATATGAAGCAAAACTACCACAAGCAATGGCAGCGTTACCGCTGGGCGCGCAGTGAATGGCATGCATACCTATAGGTTAAGAACCTGCTCGCGTGGAACCTTGTAACTATGGGCATAGGCAGGTATTCATAGATAGGTATCACAAGTGCGCCGACACAAGCCACCAGGATCGCACGCTGCCAATCGAATGCGTTATCATGGGATCTGTGCATGACCGATGAGCCCAATAAGGGACCCGCAGCGATTAGTGAGTGTCTGTTTTGATTGTCGGCATTGGCCGTCCGAGCTGTACCATGCAGGCTCTAGCGTAGCCGCTGGAGTGGATGTTCCCGCGACTTGCCGGTATGTGTTGGAAATTCGGCCAACTGATCATACGGAACGGCACAGAACCACAGAGGTGTGTCTGGCCAGCTGCAAGCGTCTCTCCCGCCCGCGCCGCCCTACTGACTCGTACCGCCATTCCTTGACCCTGACCGCCCCGTCAGTGCGGCGCCGCCACACTAGCCACGAGTGCGGTGCCGCCACCGCACAGCCACCATGCGGCGTCGCTGCCTAGCAGTGGTTCGCTTCGCCGCGGCCGTGTTTCGCATTTGTCGGAAATCGCCCTCGATTCTGAGAGGGGTGGGGAGGGGAGGGAGCTGTCGATCTCGCCGCCGCCCCCCTCCCCGTCCTCCTGGCCGCGGCCCGCGCTGGCCGGCCGGTGGAGCGGCGGTCGGCGGCGGAAGGTGCGGAGGACGTAGGGCAGAGCGGCGGCCCGGACCCGCGCTGCCGCCGGCGGATCCGCGGTCGGCGGCGGGGCTGCGGGGGACCAGGGCAGAGCGGCGGCCCGGGCGTGCTCGCGGCTGGCCGGCGGGACGTCCAGGGCGACGCTCCGCGGCCGACGGACAGGCATCGCCGGATAGTAGCCCACGTGCCGGACCTGACGCTGGGAGACCCACAGAGCGCTAGGCGCTGGCGAATGGCCGCCAGCACAGACTGAGCGAGATCCGGCCGGTTTATAATGCGCTGCTATGTCTTATGCAGGATCTGACCGTGATGTCTGCAGCTTTGCTTCTTCTCGGGCTGTGGGTCGCAAGGCCCGTGGGTTTGTGATGCATTAGTATTGTGAGCAGCATGCAGGGCGGGATAGACATGACGAAAGAGCTGGTGGGCAACACAGACACGAATTCGATATTCATTATGCAAGGCACGA